GGTAGGAGTAGTAGGGTGGGGGGGTCAGGGAAGGACAGGGATAGGGACTTGTCCTGCTAAATCAAGCGTCTGTCTCATTGGCTCAGAGCCAGAACAGGCTGTCTACTTACATATAAGCGTACAGTACATTAAATACAGTTTAGTTTTTTTTATCCAAAAAATACTTTTTTTTCCTTTTTAGCTTTTTTTAAATTCCCAGGGGTAAAAAACCTGACTGCATAGAACCTAATGACTAAGAACAGGTTTCCCTAAGCTTGCATCCTATTAAAAGACCAGTTGAATGTCCTCCTCTGGCAACTCGAATGATATGAACTCTAAAAGGCACATTGGTAGTGTGAATGTTCAAATTGCATCTGCGGGTCTGCTTGGGGGGGGGGTGGGGGAAGAGGGGCTCGGGCTCTGGTTTAGGGATCATAAGGCTAGGGTCAGCAGAGAAGACAGAACTAGGACTGGATATAAAACACAGGCCTGGATTGAGAGAGGATCAAACTGGGACGAAAGTGAAAGGGGACTTTCAGATTAATACAAGAAAACAATGGAAGTTCTTGCAGATATTCCGAATAACTTCACCTGTTGGACAGGAGTACACCTTGATACTTAGCAATGCAACAAACTTTAAGGTTTTGTTAATGACCTATCCGGACCTAATTCGTTTTTTACAGTTCTCTAAAGTTCTATCACAAAGCAACCCTTTGTCTGAAGTAACATATTTTATTAGTGGTTTGGCTTGCAGATTGGACTTGCCTCAGACAATGGTGTCACTTGAATTGACATGTATATTGAGCAAAACCCACACTTGACTGATACCAGACTCACAAGGAATGACACAGGAGTATACTGGTTTTATTTTGAGGGCCATGACTGGCTGAAAGAGTCTGAGGGCTAACCCTAACCCTAACTGTAGCGGATGATGGTCTGTTTAAATTTGGTCCCATGTCTCAGGAGCGCAACTAGTTTTGTTTCTGAACAAGCTTAGCTCGTTTAAACCCAAACAGGACAGAAAGTAGTCTTCCAAAATCAAAAATCCAATTGGAACTGTGGGATATTTAAGTATACTTGATTCTCTAGTTTCTACAATGCTATGCAGAAAACAAGACAAGGTTTTAGAAATGTTTAACAATGCATCTGGATTGCAAGGTCAAGGAAATGTAAGGTCCCAGTAACAGACTACAATGAACCTGTCAGTTATCTGCAGGACGGAACATTTCGATCGGATAGTCCCCGAAGGTCGTATTCAGGGAGGGGAGAAGTCTAAGAGGGTAGAAGTTTAGGGTTATGATTGGCGAGATACTAAAAAATAAATCCAATAAAGGAATGCTTTGACTTCTGCTGCTTGGCCCCCAGAAGAAAGTATTCACCCTGACGAAAGTTCCCTTGCTTCCCCAACAGCTTCAATATCATTTAGACCTCTAATTTCTATTGTCCATACTCTCCCTTCTATTAGTAGCTCATGGGGACGTTGAACCACTTCATTCCTTTCTCCTCTTATGACTCCCACAACTCTAATGGTTCAGGACTTGGGACTTCCAGAACCACTCGATTCAAGCAGAGCATTGGTGATTCAGGGAATGTGCTAAACATGGAATAGAAATCACTTCAGTGCTGAGTCCAGCCCTCTTCCCTCTAATCCAGTCATCCATGTATCATTTGTATGATCTCACCATGCTCTCAACCATCTGCCTGGTAATCTTTTGATTTAAAAAAAAAGGCCTGTACATGATTTTAAACTCTGCACATGTTGACGAATATCTAACAAAGGTGTGTTTCCTACTCTTTCGTTCTGGCCTCAAAGACCCCAACAATCCTTAACAAAGATGTCAATAGAAGTATTTTCTTCCTGCCACGTCTAAGAGTAAAGTTCTTTATTACTGCATGCTTCTTTCTTCTTTTTTAATTACTGTAATTCCTCTACCTCTAATAATTTAAACACCCCGGTCCGCCTGGAGTCCCTCACTGATTGATTGAATAACTGACTGATTCTTTAAGTATTGTCTTCCTTCCAGAAAATACACTCTACAAAACTGTTCAGCCTTTTTGAAATGGTGGTCCTCCTAAAAGGTTTGAAGTACAATTTAGTTGTTTCGTAAACAAAGTCAACTTGTCAACACTGCTAAAAAATACATAAACACGTTCACGTTTTTTTTTAATCTAAGGTGAATGTTAGTAGGTTAGGAGGGAATGCATTAGAAGGGGAATAACGAGTTGCCCATGTTTTTGCTGTTTAGCCCCGTTTGATTCTAGTTATCTATGATAGTCAAAAAGCGCTTGCAAACTTAATTTCTGCTTGAATGACACGGCATATCAGGACCTAATATTGTTTACATTGTTCTTTAATCTGTGATGTGTGGCTAGTAAGGGGATGTATGAGTGGGCCGCTTGCTTCTGTGATTCCATCTGGATTTTCCGGTTCTTTTTTAATTTCTCTTGCTTTGCTTCTCCGTGTGTTTCTATCTGAATGGTTGGCATCCAAGACGAGATCAGGCACAGCTTAATCCACAGTGTGGCGTTAGATTGCCATTCAGTCAGAGACGCGCTGCATTCAAGAACAGCTGCGCAATGTTGCTTTAAAGAAAACAAAAATTCTTTAACACTTTGTGATATGTTTTGCTCCGTTCTGAATAACTTGCTCCAACACAAACCCTCCAAACTCCCTGCGTCCAGTTGCCCTTTTTTTGACAAGTTCTTTGTCCTTTTTTGTCCTTTTTGTCGTATATATATATATATACTATATATAGAACCATTTTGTTCATTAAAACTGGGAATGCTGATAAAACAAGAAGTACAAGAAGAAGAATTTCTCGGATGATGTGATTCCAAAGAAGTTTGTCCATTGCTGTCACTTTGTGTCAGAAGATCCCACAGACGGCCATTTTGCAGCAGCCATGTTTTTACGGCGGCCATTGAACGTCTCCACAAAGTAGCATCTAGTTCACTTCGGCCGGAGATGCAAAGTGACAAAAGCGACTAACGTGACGCTGTAGTTCGTTTTCCCGAAAGAAGAAGAAGACGAAGGTGAAGAGCAGGATAAGAGACAGACAAGAGGAGAGAAGGATCTGATTGGTCAGACCGAAGATCAAGAGAATCTGATTGATCAGGCTTAAGCAACAACGTGGTTGATCGATTGCAGGGAAACGCTGTCAGAGGAAGTGGTCACTCATCATCTTGATGAACTCTGGCACCTTTGACCTGAAAAGTATACAAACAATTAAAGGAACAGGGGATTAGGAGGGACATTAACTTACCGTACAATCAAACACCTATTTTAACTGTAAGAGTAGCTCTAACAGTGGCTCCTGAAAAAAAACATTATTTATTTTACCCAACTCCTCAGGTGTTAAAGAGAAACTCCAAACTTTTACAGTCAGAGCAGACATAAGTAAATGTACAAAAAGTACACAAATAATTTGTGATTAATATATAAATGACTTAACAAAAATATATTTCAATCAACATAAACATTGACTGTAATCCAAAAGAAATTACAAACTGCTTTTCATGTCTAAACATCTAAAAACATAATGTTGATTTGATGAAAAGTGCAAATAAATAGGTATTTAATTACATGTGCATTTAACATTTTGAATGTTTTAAGAGCATAGAACATTGACAACACACACACTGTCACACATGAAAATCACACTTACTTCCAATCTGTTGTTAAAATGTACCGGGACCAGAAAGACACTCAAGTCTGGCCTGTATGTTTAGACCTTCTGAATTATCAGCTCTTCCAGATTTTAACTGTCAAGAACTAAACAAAAACCCTGTCCAAAAACATTCAAGTTTTAAAATACATTTGACCTATATAGTATTCGGTCAACATGTTGTCTGTGTAAGTTATAACCTTTTTTCTGCAATAAAGTTGACAAATAATGCAACTGCAAGAATAAAATGTGAATTCTGATTGTTGAGTCATAAGACAAACAGTTGAATAACATGTTGTCATCAGTTAATCTAAAGTGGAAAATAGTTATTTGACTTCACGTTACTTCGACGTTCACATATGTTTGAATGACTGATTGGCTTCTTTTTTTTGCATTTTGGTTTGCTTACAATAATTCTCTATCCAGGAAACAAATGGTTAAACATTACACAGACTACATGTTAAGTCATAATGATTTAAATGTAACTTTTGACCCTTAAAGCATGAATATAATATTCCAATTTGCTTTCATTGGGAGCCAACGTTTCAATGGAGGCATGTTTACTTAGCCATCAATTTCATGGCAACTGAATGCTATAAAAAAAAAATGTCTTGAATTTTCTGGTTTGGTTTTTAAATGTAAACTCTTTGGTTTGAGTTTAAGGTACAACAGCAGATTAGTTTATAAGTGAAACCTTCTGACCATTCAGGGGTTCAGGGAGGTGTTGCTGCGTTTTACATTTGTCCCAGGGGGTTGGACCCATCGCCCATGGTGGCGGCGGCGTGGTGAGCGGCGGCCAATGAGAGCGAAGCGCCGTCCGAGGACATGGAGCCCTTCTCCTCCTCGCGGCGCTTCAGACACGCCGCTTTGGGATTCAGGTTTCGCTCTGCACACATGGAGGAAGAGATTATTTCTGGTGATTACTGGCTCTGACTTAATCTTCTTTTACCTGCCCCTTCTTAAAAAAAAAAAGAAAAAAAAAGTCAAAGGAAATAACCATAAAAAGTAAAATAAAAGCAATATTCTTTCAGTCACAGTTGCTTACAAATACTGAAACATAAAACCAGAACATAATCAAAAGTCAACTTCACACTGTCCTTACTGTATTTTCTTTAAGCTGTGTTAGTTAATAAGTATTGAAACTTTAACAAAATCAACAGGCGCCAGTGGTTCCCTCTCCTGGAGCTCTTGGAGCACTACATGTGCTAAATGATATCTATCTTCTTGAACTATGATTCCTACCTTAAATTCCCTTTTAGCTCCAAAGACACAAGATGGCCGAACTCAAGCATTCAAAACAGTATTCCACAAACCAATGGGTGATGCCACATAGACTCAGTCCCCTTTTTAATACATTCTATATTTGATAGTTTACGGTGTTGTTGTTCCTTTCCTGGATGCAGATGAGCAGCCTTCACCCTCCAACAATATTTTAACCTGGAGGAAAAATCTGAAACATTTGGATCCCAAACCCAGAGATGGTTCATGATGGAAGGATGGATAAAAGTGACGGTGCAGCTGCACCTGAAGAACGACAAACCTCAGACCAAGTTACTGAAACCGCACCAGGCCGTGGCCGTCATCAAAGTCTGATTTATGAATACTGGAAGTTAGGATGTTAGAAATCTTTTTGTTTTAAGGTCACAAATGTCCCTGCAGACACCGTTTCTTATTGCATCAGGTTCGAGATTTATGACCATCAACATTTGTCCGTCATTCTCTGGATTGCGCCTAAAAACTACAAATGTATTATTGTTGTTATTGCTATGTGTTTTATTTATTATTTGTATAAGATGAACAACAAGATGCATTATATTGTTGTGTTCTTTTAACTTTAGTATAATCATGATGAACTACCAGTCTAGGCGCAATAAATTAACATAGAAGAATAAAAGCAGGTACTGAGGTCGAAGGTCAGGCGTCTCTATATAAAACTGACCTCGGACTTGTTGCTCCAAACTGAGGATGACGGCCACGGCCTGGTGCAGTATCAGTAACTTAGTCTGAGGTTTGTCGCTCTTCAGGTGCAGCTGCACCATTTTTCCCAGCTCCTTGAACGCCTCGTTGATGTCGCGGACGCGTAGACGTTCCCGCGCATTGTTGGCCATCCTTCGTTCCCTTTCTCTCTCCATCTTCTGCTCCGGAGACAAGTCCTCGTCGTCTGCGTTGCTGCAGTGAAAAGCACAAAAGGCAGCAAGGGGAGAGGAAGCAGGGGGTGAGGGAAGGAGAGGAGGAGGATGGGGAGGTTTTGAGGGTTAGAGCTCAGTTTGTAACATCAAAATCATCATCATCCAAATTTTTCAGATTTTTACTCCAGGTTCAAATATTGTTGGAGGGTGAAGGCTGCTCAGCTGCATCCAGGAAAGGAAAACAACACCGTAAACAAAATATATAATTTATTAAAAAGGGGACCGACTCTATGGGACCACACCCATTGGTTTGTGGAGTCTCGTTTTGGATGCTTGAGTTTGGCCATCTTGAGTTTTTGGAGCTAAAAGTTACAACCTGTCAACCACAAGCTGATTTATTATGTATTTTACTTTAAATGTGAACAAAATGTACCAAACAAAAATCATGCTTAATTTAAAAAGGCCTGAAGCTAAAGATTGAGACCATAAGCTCATTAGAAACATGTTTACTGTGGTAAAACATCCAGTGAGAAGTATGGACATGTTTTCATAGACTTTGATATATTATATTCTACCAGTGGTCACCCCGTTTTGACCATTAGAAAAAAAATGCAAGTTTAGGGCATTTCCAGATTGTCTTCCCTTTTCAAATGGCTAGGTCCACTTATTTTTATACAGTCTATGGATCAAAACCACTTATTTATCTTTTTATTACTTTAAATAGCCTTTCCACCTTCTTCTCCAGTAGGACTCAGATGAGGGTGTACTGGTATGTGTGGCTGTGACCATCTATTTGTATTTATTTTGTTTTTTTTAGAAAGGGGCAGGTCATATAAGATTTTATTCTTCTCCCTGCTCCTTTTCGCTCAATGGTGTGTTTATAGAGACATGTTTTGTTGGCAATTATTGTACATTTGTGTATGCGTACCATGAGCGGGACAAATAAAAATGAAATGAAAATATAGCAGGCTTGAGGGCCTATATAGTATGTAGATTTTATACCTGCCTTTGACATATCTTCAAACCATTTTTTAAATATTTATAATGAAAGATTATGAATTTTCAATGATTCTGTCGGTGTTGTTTCCCCAGCTCTGAATACGAGGCATCACTTCTTTGAGAATATTGAGCATGGGCTCTACTCTGTTGTGTGAGAAACAGCTGAAACCAGGTTCAAGACCATGGAGCGACTGTTAGAACATTTCTGATTTTATAGAAAACAAGTATATTTTGTTGCATTTAGCTGCTTCTCATCACACTTAGTTACTTCATCAAAGTCCAAAGGCTGGTTCCCCAAAACAATCACAGCTTTAAGACCTTCCTTGTGTCTCTTGAGATTCAAAAGATTGCTACATTTCAGTTTTCAATCCCCACCCTATCAGGAAATTCTGATATAAAATTGAGAATGAAAAAGCCCCGGATAACTTGAGTTTGTATAAACCCAACATCTTGACCCCCTAAAATAACTTTTTTTCTCAATGAACAAGGAAGGTCTCTGGGCATGTAGGTGTTTTTGGTCAAAGCCTGTGCCAGCCCAGCTGAGGGGTTTGATGAGAGTCAACGTCTGAGAGGAACCTGAACCTAGATCTTTACCTCTCAATGGACTTCAGGTCCTTGCTGTCCCCGTCCTCCTTCTTGGTGTCCAGGGACTTGCTGTCATGGTGGAGGTTCTCGTCTCCCTCGTCCTCCGACTTGATCTCAGAGCTGACGGAGGAGGCGCTCTGACCCTGGAGGCCTCCGGACATGGCTGCAGGAAGAGGGGGGGGGGGGAGATGAGGAAGGGTAAGAACGAGCACATTGAGGTATAAAATACATGAAGAATTGTTTATCCTTCGGCAGGATTACATAAAAACATCTGGCCGATTTTAAAGAAACTTGACCCATACAGTTTGGAAGCAGTTTTGAAATACATCGTGCACTATGACAGCATTAGTCATTGTTTTTAACATTTGATGTGACCTATGTCTACGTTTAGTGACAAGCAGTCTTTGCAGTGGCAAGTTATTGTGCTCCATAAGCGTCACAGGTGAAAGTAGCATTACACTTCTAGACAGTCGAAAAGCAGAAGTGGGTCCATTATTGTTTTATGTCATTGCAATCTCAAGTCCCGCAAAAACGAAGCACAATGCAGTGTTGAACAGGCCTGTGTTAGAAAAAGTTCTGAAATCAATAGAAATAATACAAGTTTAAAAAAACTGCATATTTATGTGGATAAAACAGTTAATTTAGGCAAGCAGTTTTTCAAAAGAACATGTAAGGCGCTCAGTTTCCCGCTCATTCTGCTGACGTCTGAATGCAGATTTCTGTGCCGTCGCCCTTCAAGATGGCCGCATGGAGGAGTGGTGATGCACATGTGAGTCCTCTGTTCCTCTCTCTGACTCCTCAGCTGAACACAGCAGTCTTTATTTGACTTCTGTATGGATCCGACACTGGGACGCTGCCAACTTCGTTAACACAAAACACTCCGCTCTGTTCTCCACACACACACACGGCCAACTGTCAGCCATTTTGAATCCCCATCTGCCTGACTGAAGGCATTTAGTGACGGCCTGTGTTTGGTGTGTGTGTGTGTGTGTGTGTGTCATTCAACATACAACAATGGAAGGGACGAAAATACGTGTCGAGGGCTATATATAAAAGAAAATATCTTACCCAGAGTCCTTATTTGAATGATCCTATCTGTTTTTTGTCCTTGACGACACCGAATCAGCTGGATAACAGCAAATCAAATACATAAGCGCCTGAATCTAATGACATTTTAAGTCAAAATGTATGCGTGGACAAAATTCAGATTTTGCGTGTAACAAGGGACAGCTCGGTCTGATATTAGCCAAAGTGCGCAGAAGGGCTGAGAAAATGTTGGACAAAACTGCCGCAATTAAGTAAGTCCTGTCCCCCGATGATGATTAGCTAATTATTTGTCCTTCAGCAGATCATTGGCTCCATTGTTTTTCAACCTAGAAACAGCTGAGCCGATGTCAGACAAACATTAACCATAACCCTAACCTAACTTAATGGAGTGGGTTGATTAAAAAAAGGATTGTCTTGTCACGGTCAATCAAATCGGATAAAACTACACAAACAGGGGTGACAGTTTTAAAAATGTAAAGTTAATAGATATTGCCTGAAGATGCGACCGTCGCTTATGCAGTATTCAATGTCATTGAGACATTTTGAATATTACGACCCACATTTCCTGGGGAATTGTTGTCGAACTGCTTTAGGTAGACTGCAGAGTACAACAAATTCAACATACAAATATTTTGGAAAATAAATCCTTTCACTTTGTTACTGTAGGTTTAATTATGATTAAAACAGCCCACTATGATACGCCAATATCAAAGGGAAATCGTATTGGATGTTCAATTGCCAACGTTTAGTGTGTGTGTAATTTGGATGAACTCACCCCACTGTGGAGTATGGGGATGTATATGTGAATATAACTTAAATCGGTACAGTTCATAATTATTTTGAAATTGAGAGTGAGGGAGGAGGAAACCACAGCTCTGCTACTGAGTTTGAAGTGTTTGCTGCCAAAAACCATTTTAATACCCTCTATTTACAGCCTCCACTCGCTGTGTGTGTGTGTGTGTGTGTGTGTGTGTGTGTGTGTGTGTGTGTGTGTGTGTGTGTGTGTGTGTGTGTGTGTGTGTGTGTTATCTCTGTCCACTTCAGTTCAGTTTACTCTGTT